TCCTGCCTTATACTAACATCTCTTATGCTCGCGTGTTGCGCTCTTCCTCTCCTCGTCCTTCCCCCCTTCCTCAGACTCTCAACCGTTTCCGGGCCTTGGACCCTGATACGCCCACTGCCCCCTCCTTTGTTCCTTTGAGTTCTTTCCCGAGGGGTCCCCCTCCTGGTCCTTTGTCTGGGGTTCCCCTTCTTTCAACCCGGTCTGTCATGTCTCCTGTGTCTTCTTCCTCGTCCCCCTCCGATCCTCCTTCCCATCCTCTTCCTCCATCTATCGGCTCTCCCCGCCGCCTGTCAGTGCAGGCGGATGTCCATCGCTCTCCTAACGGCCGTCGTGTGTGCTCTCGTTCGGCTTCTCCTGTTGAGACACTGGAATCCGTTGCCCGGTACGTAGTTGCTGGGACACCTGTCTCTTTAAGTCAGAAGCGTAAGCCTGGCTCCTCTCCTTCCTCTTCCCCGGCGGGTAAGAAGGCTTCGCTTTCTTCCTTAGCTCCTACTTCTGGCTCTGTTGCTCCTTCCCCTCCCGTTTCAGTGGTTGCGCCCCCTGTTCCTGCTATGGAGGTTTCTTTGGCCCCTGCTTCCCTTTCGGTTGCTGCTCTTGCTGGGGTGCGCTCCCCTCTTTCTACTCCCCCTCTTCCTACTGCTGTCCTTGACTGCTCCTCTCCGTTGTCTCCTCCTCTTCCTCCTCCTCCTCCGGACCCCGCCCGCCCACCTCTGATCTGTTCTCCCGTTTCCTTCCCTCCGTCTTTGCTCAGTTTACCCATGCCCCCTAACCCTGACTTTGCTGACCCTGATCCCGACCCTGATATTCTTTAACGTGCTCTGTTGCTCTTTCGCCTTTGTTTCTTCCTTGTTCTCTGTTTTTGTCCTTTCTCTTCTCGTCGTTGTCCATTCTTCAATGGAACGTTCGAGGTTATTACGCCAGTTTCCTCGAACTCCAACTTCTGATTTCGCGGTTTTCGCCCCTTTGTGTCTGTCTCCAGGAGCCAATGCTTGGTGCTCGTCCTGGTCGTTTTCGTGGCTATTCCTTTCTCTCCCTCCCCCCAGCCATTGCTGGGGCTTCTAATTCTTCTGCTCTCTTGATTCGTGCAGATGTTCCCTTTGTTCCTTTACTCTTTCCTTCGCCTCTCCATTGTTCTGCTGCTCGTATCTTTGTGGGGAAATGGTACACAGTTTGTTCCATTTATCTCCCCCCGAGTGTCCCGCTCTCTCTTCCTGATTTGAAACACCTCCTAGACTCCTTGCCGGAGCCTGTGCTCCTGCTGGGTGACTTCAATTGTCGTCATTCTCTTTGGGGTGACGTTCTGACGAATACCCGGGGTCGCCTCCTTGAGCCGTTTCTCCTATCTTCTTCCCGGTCTCTTCTGAATTCTGGTGAGCCCACTCATTTGGACTCTCGGACTCGCACCCTTTCTTGTCTTGATCTTTCTCTCTGCTCTTCTTCTCTTTACTTAGATTTCACGTGGCAGGTTCTTGATGACCTCCATGGAAGTGATCATTTCCCCATCCTTGTTTCCTTTTTCTCTTTTCGCCCTTCCCTCTCTTTCCCTAGGTGGCAGTTTGCTAAGGCAGACTGGACCCTATTTACCCTCAGTGCTGCTCTCTCTGACCTCTCCCTTCTGCCTCTCTCTCGCGCTCTCCTCCTTTTTCATGACACTGTCTTCAACGCTGCCCTCCGCTCTATTCCTCGCTCTTCCTCTCGGGGTCCACGGAAGTGCGTTCCCTGGTGGAATGCGGACTGTGCTCGGGCTGTCCGCTGTAAGCGTGCAGCCTGGAAGAGGCACCGCCGTAGGCAGACGACCGATTCTTTTCTTTTCTTTCGGAAAGCGAGTGCGGTGGCCCGTAGGGCCATCCGTACGGCTAAACGTGAATGTTGGGCATCTTATGTCTCAACAATTACGTCCGAAACCCCTCTGGCCCAGATCTGGAAGCGTATCCGCAAGATAGCGGGTAAGTTCGTTCCCGATGTTTCACCGGTCCTTCACCTCCATGATACTCTTGTGGCGGACCCGTTGCAGGTCGCTTCCGAACTGGGTTCCCACTTTTCTTCTGTTAGCTCTGGTCTTCATCCTCCCCAATCTTTCCTTCTTCGTAAACCTGTCCTTGAGTCTCGTCCTTTAGATTTCTGCACTCATCTTCAGCTTCCCTATAATGATCCCTTCTCTCTCTCTGAACTTCGTTCTGCCCTTGCCCTCTGCGGTTCTACGGCGGCGGGCTCCGATGGTATTCATTATGAGATGCTTCGCCATCTCCCTCCGGGTACGTCTCAGTATTTACTGAGTGCAATTGATGCCGTGTCGTCTTGGGCCACTGATCATGGCTTCAAGTTCTCTACTTCTAAGACTTGTGCCATGACATTTACGCGGAAACGGGTTGTTCTTCGTCCCTCTTTGTCACTTTATGGTCATCCCCTTGAATACAAAGATTCCGCGAAGCTTTTGGGGTTATTCCTTGACACTCGTTTGTCTTGGTCTCCCCATATCTTTTACCTCCGTGTTGAGTGCTCTAAGGCCCTTACCCTCCTTCGGGTCTTGTCTCATACTTCTTGGGGGGCAGATAGGCGCACTCTCCTTGCTTTACATTCCTCTCTTGTCCTGTCTAAGCTCGATTACGGTTGCCCTGCTTACTCGTCTGCTTCTCCTTCTACTCTTCGCCGTCTTGATGCTTTGCACCATACTGGGTTGCGCCTCAGTTCTGGTGCCTTTCGTTCGACTCCCGTCCTTAGCTTGTATGTTGACACTGGCTTCCTGTCTCTCCAGGACCGCCGTGATCGCTACTGTCTTCGCTATCTTGCGCGGTCCTTGCAACATCCTTCCTCTCGCCTCTGTCGTGCTTTAACTTTTACCCCTCCTGCGGTTCCTGTTCCTCTTCACCACCTCCCTCTTTCTGTCCGTTTATCTCGCCTGCAGGATTCTCTTTCCGTTTGTATTTCTGATGTTTCTCCTCGTGTTGTTCCTTCTTTGCCCCCGTGGAGGGTCCCTCTTCCGCGGTTTTGTACATCCTTGACCCGTATCACTAAAGCTTTTACCCCTCCTACGGTTCTAAAACGCCTTTTCCTCGAGCACTTTTCTTCTCACTCCCGCTCCGTTTCTGTCTTCACCGATGGGTCTAAGTCAGCGGACGGTGTTGGCTACTCTGTTGTTTTTCCTGATCGCACTTATATGTGTCGCTTGCCTCCGGAGACTAGCATCTTTACAGCGGAACTTTATGCTATTCTCTATGCTCTTCGTCTCCTACTTTATCGTTGTCAGTCTTCCTTTGTAGTTGTTGTTGACTCTCGTAGTGCCCTCATGGCTCTGGGGTCCTTTAATCCAGTTCATCCAGTGGTTGTCGAGATCCAGCATTGGCTGTTTCTCGTTCACAGTAAATTTAAGTCGGTTGAGTTTTGTTGGGTTCCCAGCCATATTGGTGTGTCTTTAAATGAGCGTGCGGATGCTGCCGCCAAGGAAGCTGTCCGCTCTTGTCCCATCTCTCGTAAGGGCATTCCGTATTCCGACTTTTACCCGGCTATCCATTCCTCAGTCCTTACCCGTTGGCAGGCTTGTTGGACGTCTGTTACTGGTAACAAGCTACGTACTCTTAAATGTTGTGTTTCCTCGTGGCAGTCCTCCTTCCACCGTAACCGGCGGTGGGAAACAGCTCTGGCGAGGTTGCGTATTGGCCATACTCGCTTAACCCATGGTCACTTGATGGAGCGCCGCCCTGCTCCTTATTGTCCTAGTTGCATTGTCCCTCTTACGGTCGTGCATGTCCTTCTTGAATGTCCTGACTTCCAGGACGAGCGTATGTCTTGCTTTCCGACCGCCCCTCGCGGTCACCTGTCCCTCGATAGAATTCTTGGTGACTCGGATACTTTTGATATCGTTCGCCTTATGCGTTTTTGTTCTCGTATTGGCATCCTTGGTGATATTTAGCGCCCTCTGATTATTTTGCGTCTTTGATGGTGCTACATAGCCTTCCCAGTTTGGTGCCTTCTTTTGATAATTACTTACTTACTTCTCAGTGATGCTGAAGTGTGGTGGTGGTGATGCTTCTCAGTGATGCTGAAGTGTGGTGGTGGTGATGCTTCTCAGTGATGCTGAAGTGTGGTGGTGGTGATGCTTCTCAGTGATGCTGAAGTGTTGTGGTGGTGATACTTCTCAGTGATGCTGAAGTGTGGTGGTGGTGATGCTTCTCAGTGATGCTGAAGTGTGGTGGTGGTGATGCTTCTCAGTGATGCTGAAGTGTGGTGGTGGTGATGCTTCTCAGTGATGCTGAAGTGTGGTGGTGGTGCTTCTCAGTGATGCTGAAGTGTGGTGGTGGTGCTTCTCAGTGATGCTGAAGTGTGGTGGTGGTGCTTCTCAGTGATGCTGAAGTGTGGTGGTGATGCTTCTCAGTGATGCTGAAGTGTGGTGGTGATGCTTCTCAGTGATGCTGAAGTGTGGTGGTGGTGCTTCTCAGTGATGCTGAAGTGTGGTGGTGATGCTTCTCAGTGATGCTGAAGTGTGGTGGTGGTGCTTCTCAGTGATGCTGAAGTGTGGTGGTGATGCTTCTCAGTGATGCTGAAGTGTGGTGGTGGTGCTTCTCAGTGATGCTGAAGTGTGGTGGTGGTGGTCGTCTCTGATGCTGGTTGTCTGTGATGCTATGTAATTGAAAGAGAGCGGCCAATAAGCAGTAGTCATTTTTTCTTTTAAATAACATGAGTAGCCTTCTTTTCTTGTATGGCTGCCATATCTTCTCTGGTGTGATGCCTCCCTCCCTCCCTCCCTCCTTCCCTCCCTCCCCTAAGAAAGTAGGGAATGGTAATGGTGATGGTCAACTATATAGACAAATGACAGATGACAAGTAATGAATGTAAATCACGAGTGCTAAAATGTTCACATTGTGTGTAAGGTTTGTAAGTTGACATTACATGTGATTAATTATTGATTAATTATTGATTAATTATCGACATTGTTGTTAAAGTTGCACAGTTAGTCGCCCAGTGTAGATTTGTGTGTTTATTATTTTTATTTTTTTTCATAGATGGAACAGAGCCATCAGGCCTGGCTAGAGGACATGGCTGTGAGGCTCATGTGTGTGTTAGCTCTAGATCGTTTTGGTGACTTTGTATCGGACCAAGTTGTGGCACCTGTCAGAGAAACATGTGCGCAAGCGTTAGGTAAGTTAAGTCTATATCCACCACTATTGTTTTAAATAATAACATGTTTTAATGTTATTCTGATTTGCTCTTAAGTTTTAGCTATACAGTATAGTACTTGTATCGTAAAAATACCTGATTCTAAAGCTGTCTTTAGAAGAGTCTTACTGACTTTAGAAGGTTTTGACTTAAAGATTCTAACTTTTTCTCTCCTAAATATTCTTATCAAACTCTGGCTAGTCATTTCCTAGCCATTTAAAAATTATATAAAATATATCTTTGCATTATGGAACGTAACGTGTTTGCTAATGTAATGTTATTTCTGGCAATAAGAATTTAATTTGTGTATAGATAAAATGTGAATTCTGTGGTAGAACTTGATGACAAATTTTGTATTTTTTAGGAAGTATACTGGTGTTGCTGAAAGAAGATGGTGTTTACAGTGCTCTGGCCCTGCTGGAGACCATGTTGTCATGGAGGGAGTGGGAAGCTCGGCACGGAGGATTGCTGGGTCTCAAGTACCTCTTGGCTGTTCGAGACGACTTGAGAGCGAGACTCTTCACTCATACTTACCCTCACATCTATAGAGGTGCCTAAATATTTTCCTAGTATTAGTTACATCCTTTTTTAAGCCTTATGGCTTGTACTGTATTATACTGTAAACCACAGTGTTTATAATTATAAGTGAATAATTGAGAACAGAGAGGAATAAAGTGGAAAGTATAATATGTGGGTTGTCATAACAATTTGAACCTGAGTCCAGGTTTATATATCTTCTTATTTCTGTCCATTGGTGCTTCTTTGCCAAGAGGTAGCTATGAGAAGTCAGTCCTCTCTAACCACAAGGGGTGGCCATGAGAGGAGTTGGTCCTCTGTAACCACAAGTGGTGGCCAAAAACTCCATCTGGGCCAACTGCTTTGTTCTTACTTGGCTCCTTGAGCATTTTTTCCACTTCGTCTCTAGACACCTCTATGTGCTCTATGTTGTTCTCCGGAATTCTTATTGTGTCTGGTTCCCTTTAGATTTCATTTTGTACAAACACATTTTGGAACATTTCGTTTAATGTTTTATACATTTCCTTTTCATTTTTCCTGAATCTGTTTCACATTTTCAACCTCTGAATATTATCCTTTACTTGCAATTTGTTGTTTGTGAATTTATAGAATAGGCCTGGTTCTGTTTTACATTTGTCCGCAGGGAGCCGGTCGGCCGAGCGGACAGCACGTTGGACTTGTGATCCTGTGGTCCCGGGTTTGATCTCGGGCGTTGGCGAGAAACAATAGGCAAAGTTTCTTTCACCCTATGCCCCTGTAACCTAGCAGTAAAATAGGTACCTGGGTATTAGTCAGCTGTCACGGGCTGCTTCCTGGGGGTGGAGGCCTGGTCGAGGACCGGGCCACGGGGGACACTAAAGCCCCGAAATCATCTCAAGATAACCTCAAGAATCGCCTTTTCAAAATTTCTTTATTTCTCTTCTCACTTCTGTATAGTTGTTTCTCGCATTTTTGTATCACTGGTATGTTTGGTGGTTTGGCCTCTTCCTGTATTGATTCCATTTTTGTGCCTTTTGGTCTCTGGCCCTCTCGCAATTTCTGTTGAACCAATCCTGTTTCCTAGTTCTGCATCTCTGCTTTGGTATAAATTTTGTTGTGCCTCTATCATATATTTCACAAAACTTGACATGCATCTTATTTACTTCATTTCCTAACAGCAAGTCTTTCCAGTCAAATTCCTTAGGAAATGTTTTTTACGTTACATATGTTCTTGCAAATTTCAAACCATCTACTAAGGTCAGGTTGAAACGTACAAAGATGAGAAGCAATCCTATTCAACAAGCTTTGTCATTAGGTGCGATCTTTCAATATCGAATTTGACATAATCTTTCAAACCTTATGTCACAATTTCTTTAATAGGAGGAAGAGTGTGTGAGGAGCATATGCTGCTCTTACCAACTTCAGAATCCCTTTTAATTACTGTACATGTAGGGTGAAATACTAAAGAAACTGTGACTATTGTGAGACCAAAATTGGAATTCGTAGCAGTTGTATCGTGCCCATATCATAAGCAGCACATCAATAAACTGAAAAAGGGGTGCAAAGGCATGCTACAAAATGGCTTCCAGACCTGAAAAACAAGAATTATGAAGAGAGGTTAGAGGTGTTAAATATACCAAAGCTAAAAGATTGAAGAAAAAGAGGTGACATGAATCATAGTGAGATATATCAAATGAACAAATATTTGTTTATTTGATGTATTACGCTATTGTGATTTCTGTGTATTGAAGTAAGGGCGAAGAGGTAGAACAGCTTGTTGACAGAGCCCGGGTGCATGAGGAAATTGTAAAATCCTGGGGCCAGATTCCCGAAGCAGTTACGCAAACACGAACCTGTACATCTCTTCTCAATCTTTAGCTCCTTTGTTTACAATTATTAAACAGTTAATGAGCTCTGAAGCACCGGGAGGCTGTTTATAACATTAACAACAGTTGTTTGTGACATTTTCATGCTTGTAAATGTTTAAGAAATGTTACCAAAGCCGTCAAAGATTGAGGAAAGATGTACACGTTCGTAAGTACTTGTGTAACTGCTTCGTGAATCTGGCCCCTGGTTTGTGTCTCGGAGAGGCTGCAGGATCCGTGTGAGGGTTATGAACTCCCGGTTGCAATATATTTACCTTGTTGTGGCACAGTCGACTAAGGTGCGTCTGGGATCATCTTGGACGTAGGTTCGAACCTTCAACACGGCCCTTGTGGATTTGTTCATTTGGACTCAACATGTGTAGTATTGAGGCATCTTGCACAAAGTACAATGTATCTAAGAAACATACAACAAACCACCACCCAGGAAAAACCTCCAGATCCCTTAACATGGATATTCACCTTGAACACACTGGATTATGGATACTTTCCTTTACACTTTGCTACTACTGTACAGCTCATGTTTGACAGCTGACTAACACCCAGGTACCTATTTTACTGCTAGGTAACAGGGGCATAGGGTGAAAGAAACTCTGCCCAGTGTTTCTCGCCGGCGCCTGGGATCGAACCCAGGACCACAGGATCACAAGTCCAGCGTGCTGTCCGCTCGGCCATTTTCTGGGCGAGACCCGGAGGCTCCCCGGAGCTATACTGGGCTGATGTGTATATATTAGACCTGTGGCAACAGTCAATCGAAGGAGTTCTAAGCCTACCGGGGACCAGAGCCAGAACCTGACCCCCTCAAGAGAGGCACGAGGAGCAATGGCCTAAAGACACCCCGCTTGTAATTGGAAGGAGTCTTTATCTGCCATCTACCAGGTCAGGCACCCAGAAAGGTAGGAATTCCAAAACAAACTACTGCTGATCAAATAAATTGCAAACCGAAAGCCGAACTAGCAACAGAACTCCCCAATCAAAACCAAGGAAACAAGTATGACGTCACCACAAACGCCGTGCATCTGTCTGCGCAACCCCCCCCTCCCTGGGAAAGGGGGGGGGTCCCAGACCTCCACGCCGGCAACTCTCCTCAGTTCAGAGGCTGAGTATCAAAAAACGCGAAAAAACGCCGACTGGAGGGAAAAAACCTCCAGCCGACCGGAGGGAGGGTCTCAAAAGGGATGTTTCACCCATTTTCTGGGTGAGATCCTCCGGGTCTCGCCCAGAAAATGGCGTTTCATTACATTCAACGCTGGTTTTCTGTGGAGAGCCCCTTCGGCTCCCCGGAGCTACCTAACCAAAGACAAAGAAAAAGAGGGACTTACCCGGGAGGCGGTCGTCACTCGCTCCTCAACTCGAAGTCGAGACAAATGACTGCAACCTGCAACCCAAGGCTACACACGCCCGAGAAGGCCCAGGAACATAAACGAAATACCACGCAGCCAGGAACCTGTTCGACCTCCATAAGCCCCGTGCCTGAATGTCAGCCCAGGAGATATTCCCAAAAACAGCAGCCAAAGTAGCGAACTTACGAATGTCGTGGGCACTGGGATAGACTGCAGGCTGGCTGGACCGAATAATCCTGTGGATGACCTGGGAGGACCACACCTTGGAACAGGGAAGAAGGGAAACCAGGCCCACCCAAAGCGTGTCCCCTGCCACGGAGGCCGTAGTGTGCAGATACTGGCGAAGAGCCGCAACTGGACACAAAACATGATGGACCCTCGGCCGAACCAACCAAGCATCTACAACCCAAGGACCCCTTTGGAAAGCAGCAGACTGATTCTTCACCATAAAAGAAGAGAAGGCTGCAAACGAACGAAACGACCACCAGGACTGAAAGAGCTGAAACCCCTGCGCCGGAGGAGAGCATGAAGCTCCCAGACCCGACCCCCAGAGGCCAAGGCCCTCAAGAAAAGAGCCTTAGAAAAACAGTCCTGAACTGAGGGGCCCCCCACAAACCAAGGAGAAGAGAGAAGAGAGAGCACCCGGTCCAACGACCAGAATGGCTCAGGTGGCGCATGAGCAGGCCGGAGGTGAAACAACGTCAGAAAACGCTTTTGGAACGGAGCAGAAGGGACATCTACCCCGAAAGCAAGCTGCAGCAGCTCTGCTAGCGCTGCACGAAACGAGGCGACAGAATTTGGCACAAGATGACGGTCCTGAAACAACTAAGAGAGAAAGGACAAAACCCAATCAGAATCAAAGACAACCTACGAAGAGACAAAAATTTGCCGAAAGGACCGCCAGGAAATTTCATACTGCCGTTTAGACGAAACTCGCAGGTGGGACACCATCAACTAAGCCACCTGATCACCATACAAGTGGTGATACACCCACGTCAAAGAGACCAGACGCGAAGAGTGGAGGAGAAGATCGAACCAGCTATGTAACAGACCGGACTGATCTGCTGAAAGAGTCGGAGCCGCAGGAAGACTCTTGGGTTCAGACATCGAGCAAGAAGCACCTGAAACCAAGGCTGGCCCGGCCACCAAGGAGCCAACAGGACTACTCTCCCTTGGGAAGTCTCCAACTGAGCCAGGATCTGGAGCAACAACCAGACCGGAGGGAAGAGGTACAGGTAACTTCGCCTCGACCAGCCCAGCTGAAAGGCATTGACCCCAACAGCCTTGCAGTCTGGGAAGGGTGCCACATAAACTGGAAGACGCCTCGACTACGCCGATGCGAATAGGTCCATTTCTGGGCGCCTGTACGTCCGGCAGAGCCAACTGAACGAGTCGGCATTGACCGTCCATTCCGTGGAAAGGGGAATGAACCGAGACAGGCCGTTCGCCAGGACGTTTGACACCCCACTGAACATGAACCACCAGGAGAGCCAAACTCTGAAAACTTGGCAGACGAGTCACCCGAAGCGACCAGCCCCAAAGAACCAAGGACCGCATCAAGCCCCCGTGGTTCAGGCAGTGAACCACCAGGGAGCAGTCCAAATGGAGCCGGGTCGTTGCTCCTTGAGCGACCCAAATCCTCTGAAGCGAATACCACACCGCCTCAAACTCCCTCACCATGCTGCGAGCTCGACGGAAGGACGGACCCCACAGACCCTGACCGGCCTGGTGAGCACTTGTCACAAAACCCCAGCAGAGAGACGAGGCATCCGTGAACACATCGAACGAGAGCTCGCGGAGGCGCCATGGCACAGAACCCCGAAAAACCC